GAGATTTGCTATATAGTATATATCGCTTTACGAGAGTTTACTGTATAGATGCAAAAAAGTTGGACATACTTATATATACAACTTTATACGAAAAGCTGGACGATAATATAGTTAAATTTTGCGATTACATAAATAAATCACTGTTGAGATTTGCTATATAGTATATATCGCTTTACGAGTTTACTGTATAGATGCGAAAAAAGTTGGACATATATATACAATTTTATATGAAAAGCTGGACAATAATATAGTTAAATTTTGCGATTACAAAAAATTATAGTTGAGATTTGCTATATAGTATATATCGCTTTACGAGAGTTTACTGTATAGATGCAAAAAAAGTTGGACATATATATACAATTTTATACGAAAAGCTGGACGATAATATAGTTAAATTTTGCGATTATAAAAAATCACAGTTGAGATTTGCTATATAGTATATATCGCTTTACGAGAGTTTACTGTATAGATGCGGAAAAAGTTGGACATATATATACAATTTTATACGAAAAGCTGGACAATAATATAGTTAAATTTTGCGATTACATAAAAAGTCACTGTTGAGATTTGCTATATAGTATATATCGCTTTACGAGAGTTTACTGTATAGATGCGAAATAAGTTGGACATACTTATATATACAACTTTATACGAAAAGCTGGACGATAATATAGTTAAATTTTGCGACTAAATAAAAAAACTCATAGTTGAGATTTGTTATATAATATATTGTTTTACGAGAGTTTACTGTATAGGTAGTCTGACGTAGATTCTGTCGTTCAGATGTGTGGGAGGCTGAGACAGGAACGGTGGAGGCAGAGACTCTTCCCAAACCAGAGGATGCTGGGACGGAAAACCTGCTTCTGCTGCTGCCCAGTTTACCGAACACCAGCGCGCAGCCGCACAAAGGTCTGAACAAGCCCAAACATTCTTTAGTCCAAATCCACTGACGATTGCGCATTGTAACGTGTGACGTGACACGCAGGAATCCTGAAGAAGAAGCAGCTGTCGCCCATCGCCGAGAGGAACGCCATCAACCGCATACACAACCAGCTGTCGGGAGACTCCACCTCCTCACGCGAGGCTCGAGGGGGCGTGGCCAGGCGGGATCATCCGAACGGGACGTCAGCGAGCGGACCAACGAAAACACTCGACAACGACTCGTCTGAATCCGAGTGAGTGATAGCTTTACAGTTTGCGACGATATAAACTATATAAATCTAGCCGTTGAAATTTGCTATACAGTATATATCGCTATACGTGAGTTTACTGTATAGATGCGAAAAAAGTTGGCCATAGTTATAAATATCATAATATTATAAATTATCAACTTTATATGAGCTATTAGATAATATAGTTACATTTTGCGATAAAATTAAAAAATCACAGTTGAGATTTTCTATATAGCATATATCGCTTGTATGCGAATAAAGTTGAATATACTGTATATCAAACTTTATATAATAAGCTTGACGGTAATATAGTTAAATTTTCCAACTAAATAAAAAAAATCACAGTTGAGATTTGCTATATAGCATATATCGCTTTTTATGTAAATAAAGTTAAATATACTTTATATCAAACTTTATATAAAAAGCTGGACGATAATATAGTTACATTTTGCGACTAAATTAAAAAAAATCACGCTGTTGAGATTTTCTATATTATGGAGAAAAACATATGGATATCTTGGATGCAAACGAACAATTTGTTCCCGCGACTTGCTAATACGTCAGTGCATTTTACGAAGGAACGAATAAGTTCAACGTGGCCACGATTTACTAAAATGAGAGAATGAATTATATATATGTCATACTATATAGTTACAAATTTCGAATTTTGACGTTCCCTTTGCTGCTGAAATCATCAACCCTCTTATTGGTCACCTGACCTCATATAGAGACGCTTTGCCCATCCGTGGGTCAGGTTTCGTTCACACGTGACTACGATGTGTTTCTTTGCAGATGCTAACGAGCGACGAGGGAATGGAGAGGCGAGGAACAATCTTCTGTTTCTGTCCCAGTTTCTCCTCAGTTTCACACGACAGCCGATCTGATTCTCCGTGCCAAACGCTGACGAGAATCCCTCGCTTTTACATTTTTGTTTACATACTTGAAGTGAAGCACTTTTTTATTTCTTTCGTCCTCTCGCCGCATTGACTTTTTGTAAATGAGTGAAAATATCAGGGAACTTCCTACATGAAGCTAATGACCGCTGGACTAGCGATACATGACGCTAACGACCGCTGGATGAAGCTAACGACCGCTGGACTAGCGATACATGACGCTAACGACCGCTGGATGAAGCTAACGACCGCTGGACTGAGCGATACATGACGCTAACGACCGCTGGATGAAGCTAAAGACCGCTGGACTGAGCGATACATGACGCTAACGACCGCTGGATGAAGCTAAAGACCGCTGGACTCGCTAATGACCGCTGGATGAAGCTAAAGACCGCTGGACTGAGCGATACATGACGCTAATGACCGCTGGATGAAGCTAACGACCGCTGGATGAAGCTAAAGACCGCTGGACTGAGCGATACATGACGCTAACGACCGCTGGATGAAGCTAAAGACCGCTGGACTGAGCGATACATGACGCTAACGACCGCTGGATGAAGCTAAAGACCGCTGGACTGAGCGATACATGACGCTAACGACCGCTGGATGAAGCTAAAGACCGCTGGACTCGCTAATGACCGCTGGATGAAGCTAAAGACCGCTGGACTGAGCGATACATGACGCTAATGACCGCTGGATGAAGCTAACGACCGCTGGATGAAGCTAAAGACCGCTGGACTGAGCGCTACATGACGCTAACGACCGCTGGATGAAGCTAAAGACCGCTGGACTGAGCGATACATGACGCTAATGACCGCTGGATGAAGCTAACGACCGCTGGATGAAGCTAAAGACCGCTGGACTGAGCACTACATGACGCTAACGACCGCTGGATGAAGCTAAAGACCGCTGGACTGAGCGATACATGACGCTAATGACCGCTGGATGAAGCTAAAGACCGCTGGACTGAGCGATACATGAAGCTAACGACCGCTGGATGAAGCTAACGACCACTGGAGGAAGCTAACGACCGCTGGATGAAGCTAAAGACCGCTGGACTGAGCGCTACATGACGCTAACGACCGCTGGATGAAGCTAACGACCGCTGGATGAAGCTAAAGACCACTGGATGAAGCTAACGACCGCTGGACTGAGCGATACATGACGCTAACGACCGTTGGATGAAGCTAACGACCGCTGGACTAGCGATACATGGAGGCCTGATGGGAAGGATCTGGTTCCTGACTCAAGCCTTGAGCTGATGCCTTCTCACCAGCAGAGCCTTGATTCCCACTCGAGGAGAACCACACTTTTCATACTCGCTCTTTTTGTACATTTTGGGGACATTTTTATACAAACTTTTAAAAAGACTCACGTTTAAAACCTTTTGAATGAAAACCTTTGTATTTTATAGATTAGCAATGGTCTGAACTGTAAATTGAAACATTTGTCGCAGTGTTGTACAGATCTCTAACACGTCACACGTAAAACACATGCTGATAGAGTCGTCTTACCCGTCCATATGGAAGCTCGTTTCCGCCACGGATTTTTTGTTTGTTGAAAAACGTAATTGTGAATTTTGTATCTCATGATTTTTTTTCTCACAACTGCGAGTTTATATCTTGCAATTATGACTAAAAGATAAAAAAGGTCATTTCAACTATATTTCGAAATTCTGACTTTTTACTCACAATTACGAGTTTATATTTCGCAATTGAGAATTAGAAACTCATAATTATAAACTGATATAAATATAACTCATAAGTTTATATAAGTTTACTTTTTGTGAATTTTTATCACAATTTTGACTTTTTTCACAATTACAAGTTTATATTTCGCAATTCTTAATTAAAAATCGTAATTGCGAATTTTGTATCATAATTTTGACTTTCTCACAACTGTGTTTATATCTCACAATTATGACACAACAAATTTAAAAGATAATTGAACTGATATTTCGCAATTCAGATTTTTTTCTCAATTACGAGTTTATATCTCGCAAATCTGACTACATTTAAAAAGTAATTGCGACTTATCTTTTGATAAATTTTTCGAGTTTATCTTACATTTACATTTTTCTCACAATTGCGAGTTTACATCTTGCAATTCTGACAAAAAAATAAAAAGGTAATTGCAACTTTACATCTCGCAATTCTTACTTTTTCTCTTACAATTGCGATTCAGACTTTTTTCTCACATCTCAAAACAAGAAAGAGTCAGAATTGTGAGATAAAAAGTCGCAATTGCCTATTTTTTATTTATTCCGTGGTAGAATTGACGCTTTGACTGTAAAAATGAAAACGCCACTGTTGACTTTTAACACAATGTGCTGCTCAATCTTCTGAAAAACTCCAGACGGGTCATTTTTTGACTTTTGATAACACACACACGTCAGAATCACGCTGTACAGACATGTTTTATACCCATATGTTGTGCTTTATTACTGTATTTGTTTCAGTCTCATCACTGGAACCAGTTTTAGCTGGAAACACGGCTGGAAACTTTGTAAAACACTGACTTGAAGTAAAACTGTTTTTAATATTTAACGCCTCATTTGTTTTCTCAAGCTGTCACTCAAACTCAAACTGTGATCAAACTCCTAAATATGAACTAGCATTTTTGAGTTTTGCATGTCCAGAAACACTTGCATTCTCTTCAGCATATCTAGTTTTAGTGTAACTGTAATGTGTAATTATTTATTTAATTAATTCAATTTTCATAAAATGAATTGTATTACTAAATATTTTTTGTACAGTACAATCGTTATTACAGTATATTATTTTGTTTATTTTTTGTATTTTTAATAATTATTATTTTATAGCCATTGAATTGGTAAAACAGTGGTAATGTGACCAATTTTTTTTCTTGTGGTGAAATTCTAAAAATATATACATTTTTAATATTTCCATTATCATTGGTGTAGGATTTAACAACTGTCACTCTGTAATTATTTGCGATATTTACTAGAAATTCCAAAGTAATGGCAAGAAACACATTGAATTAAACATTACATTTTTAAGTAGAAATACTGAAATAGTATTTTCTTGTAAAATGTACTAGTTAGGCAAGGCAAGGCAAGTTTATTTATATAGCACATTTCATACACAATGGTAATTCAAAGTGCTTTACATAGGAGGAAATAATTAAAACAGTTCAGAATAAAAAATAAAATAAAGTACAGTAAAAACAGTCGGACGAACAGTGGCACAGTGCTCATTCAGTAAATGCACAGCTAAACAGAAGTGTTTTGAGTCTGGATTTGAATGTGACTACTGTAGGAGCACATCTGATCTCTTCTGGAAGCTGGTTCCAGCGGCTGGCATAATAGCTAAAAGCAGACTCTCCGTGCTTAGAGTGAACCCTTGGTATTTCTAGCTGATGTGATCCTAATGATCTGAGTGATCTGTTAGGTTTATATTCAGTGAGCATATCTGCAATATATTGAGGTCCTAGCCCATTAAAAGATTTATATACCAGTAATAATACTTTAAAATCAATCCTAAATGTAACTGGGAGCCAGTGTAAAGACCTGAGGACTGGTGTGATGTGTTCATATGTTCTGGTTCTGCTCAGCGTTCTGTATGAGCTGCAACTGTCTTATGGTCTTTTTAGGAAGGCCAGTGAGGAGTCCATTACAGTAATCCACCCTGCTGGTGATGAAAGCATGCACAAGTTTCTCTAAGTCTTGATTGGAAACAAAGCATCTAATTCTTGCAATATTTTTCAGATGATAGTATGCTGATTTAGTAATTGCTTTGACATGACTACTGAAACTAAGGTCTGACTCTAGAGACACACCCAGATTCCTGACTTGATTTTTAGTTGTTAGACCCCTAGCGTCAAGGTATGCATTCACCTTGAGAACTTCATCTTTGTTTCCAAACGCAATGACTTCAGTTTTGTCTTTGTTTAACTGAAGAAAGTTTTGACACATCCAACCGTTGACTTCATCAATGCATTGGCACAGAGAGTCAATGGGGCTGTAGTGGTTAGGCGATAGGGATAAGTAGAGCTGTGTGTGTGTGTGTGTGTGTGTGTGTGTGTGTGTGTGTGTGTGTGTGTGTGTGTGTGTGTGTGTGTGTGTGTGTGTGTGTGTGTGTAAGTAGAGCTGTGT